GCTGCCAGTCTTTTGGTTAGCAGACAAGTTCTTAACCACTGCACCTCCAGGGCTTCCTTGTTTTTAATGTGCCCAGAAACAGTGAGAATTCCAATGTTAAATAACCAAATAACTTAAAGTACTTTTTTTTTTTTTTTTTAACTCTGAGACTCACTGCAAATGATAGTAGTTTGAGACATGAGATGTGGTAGTAGGACAATATATGGGCTGTAGGCTTATAGTCACAACTTATATCTGTGTGAGTTTTGCTGCCCTGTTTAACCTCTCTGAATCTCGTTTATTAAATGGGGATGTCTAGCCTGGAGAACTTTTGTAAGAATTCGAGATAAGGAATGAGTGAATTTAGCACGCTACCCAGTACGCAGTAGTCAAGCAATAAATGATATTGAAGTGTTATTTGTGTATTATGTTTTAGGCCAATTAACCCTAATAATTGGCCAGTGTTAGATAAACAGAAACAATTTTAGCAATATAATGTCTGTGGGTCTAAAAATATATAAAATCATGTTATTAAAGAAGGTATGTGTTACAGAGATTGTTCCAAATTTTGTTAATGCCCTAATTTATATGTGCAGTAAAGGATAGAACGTGGCAACACAAATGAAAAGATGAATAAACCACCAGGACAAACAGGGAGACTCACATGATCAGCAAAAGAAGAAATGACGTTCCTTCCTAAGCCAGGTCAGCATCAGTTCACAGAAAGGGCGTGAGAGGTGAGATTGCAGTGAAGAAGTGAACCCCGGACAATTTTGTGGGCATTACCTTGCAATCACCTTGTCAGTTAGAATAAGTGTTAATAGCATTTAGAAATTTCCTACAGTACCACATTTCTTCTCTCTTATATCCTGTTCTCTCATAGCTACCATAAATTTTGGAATTATTGTAAAGAATTTTAGGTTCTAAGAAATTACTTCCCAGACTTAACAGTATCTATTCTTAACACCAACGCTTCTGCTTGGCACGCTGGGTAAGATTTTCCCAACACGGACAAATAAATTCATTCTGAAGGCAGATCAGAGCCTGCACATATGGGACAGAAGTTCAGATCATCTCATTACGCACTAATTGTTATTTGAGTCCAAAGTCTTCCTGAGAGTGGATCTGCTTCACTCACCTGGCCTCCATGCTACTGTATGCCTCTGGAATTCAAAGTTAGCAAGCATAAAAAAAAGTAAAATGGAGAAATTTAAGAATAACCCTGATTATAAACGATGCGTGCTATTTTACTGAACGTGGCATTCATTTGTCCCCTGGAGACACCATGTTCTGAGGGAGAAAACATTTATTATTTATTTTATTTTAAACATAATTGTGCACATATTTTATTTTTCTCCATTGATATGTCAGACACTCTAAGCTGTTACTAGTTTATAGGGCAGGATTGAGGAAGAATTTTTGCTTGTCATTTTATTGCTTTTTTTGGTGAATTTTTATAATGTTCATGTATTTATTTACCTAGAAAATAAAGAAGTTAAAATGCATATGCTCAAGAACTCACAGTTTTGTGCAGCCGTTCTATGAAGACGCTGATAATTTGTAACACTCTGATCATAAAGGCAGGTGACCTAAGTTAGGTCCTTAATGTCAGTCATAGAAATCACTGAGAAAAAGAAATGATTTAGTTTATTGAAAATTCAACAACAACAAAAAATTAAGTGCCTACTGTCAGCCATCCACTAGAGATACAGAAGTGAATCAAATTTTGTCCATACTTTCCAGAAGCATACTGTCTAATGATAATAGCAATACCAATAAAGACAATATCGACCATTTGATGGGGAAAGAAGAATCTCTTCAATAAATGGTGCCGGGAAAATTGTATTTCCACATGCAGAAAAATGAAACAGGACTCATGCCTCACACCATACACAAAAACAAATTCAAAATGGATTAACGACCTAAATGTGCAAACTAAAACATAGAAGTCTTAGAAGAAAAAGCAGGGGCAATGCTGTCAGGCCTAGCTTTTAAAAATGGATTATCTAATATAATAACAAAAACACAAACAGCAAAAGACAAAATAAATAAAAGGGACCTCATAAAAATAAAAAACTTGTTCATTGAAAGACTATCAAAAAACTGAAAAGCAAGCTACTGACTGGAAGAATATCTTTGGAAATTATATATCCGACAAGAACATAATAACCGATATATATATAAAACTTTGACAACTTAACAACAAAAGACAAATAACCCAATCATAAAATGGGCAAAGGACTTGAATAGAAATTTCACCAGAGAGGACATTCAAATGGCCACCAAAGCATGTAAAGATGTTTAGTCATTAGCCATCATAGATATGCTAATCAAAATCACAATGAGATACCATTTCACTCCCACTAGGATAGTTAAGATAAAAAACAAAACCAAAAAAACAACAAATGTTGCAAGGATGTGGGGAAATCAGAACACTTACCCACTGCTGGTGGAAATGCAAAATGGTACAGCCATTGTGGAAAACAGTGTGGTGGTTCACCAAAAAACTAAAAATAGAACTATCATTAAAAAAAAAAAAAATCAAGTCCATTGCTGTGGAGTCAATTATGACTCATAGCAACCCTATAGGACAGAGTAGAACTGCCCCATAGGGTTTCCAAGGAGCAGCTGGTAGATTCAAATGGCTGAGCTTTTGGTTAGCAGTCGAGCTCTTAACCACTGCGCAATTCCACTCCTAGGTATGTACCCAGAAGACTCGAAAACAGAAACTCAAACAGAGACGTTTACACCAATGTTCATTGCAGCACTATTCACAATAGCCAAAAGGTGGAAATGCCCATCAACAGATGAATAGATAAACAAAATGTGGTACATACATACAATGGAATACTACTCAGTCAGTAGGAGAAATGAAATCTTGATACATGCTATAATATGGACAAATATTATATGAACTCACTTTTACAGAAAGACAAGTAAAGAAAATGTATAGACAACAAAGTTTATTAGTGGTTACCAGGGCAGGAGGGAAGGAGAAAGGGAGGTTAATGGTGATGGAAATATCACGAATATCACGTTGATTAAGGGTAGAGTTGCACATCTGACTATTGTAATTGCTGTCAATGGGTTGTACACTTGTAAAAAGTAGCGTGATAGATATATTTACAACAACGGCAAAAAAAAAAAAAAGAAAGAAAGAGTAGCTGCTGAGGCTGATTATGTACCACCAAACACCTCATGGTAGGGACTGAATTGCTGGGCTGAGGGCTGTGGGGACCATGGTCTCAGGGAACATATAGCTCAATTGGCGTAACATAGTTTATAAAGAAAATGTTCTACATTCTACTTTGGTGAGTAGTGTCTGGGGTCTTAAAAGCCTGTGAGTGGCCATCTAAGATACTCCAC